TTGGACATCCCCAGACCTGCTGACCCTGGGGCCACCTTGTTTCTTCTTGACCTTTACCCTGCATTTCCACCCCTGTGGCCAGGATAAAGCACTGTGGGCAGGGAGCCCCCTACTGGTAGACCTTGCTTAGGGCGTCTACCTGTGCTTGTGATCCACTTCACAGCAGCCAGAAACCCTGGCTGTCCTTCTTTGTCCTGTCATCAGGCCTTCCATGTTCCCTTCCCTCCTGACAATTGCACTTTCACATTAGGGTGCACATGAGATGGGGGTTCGAGACATTGTCTACCTTTTAAGTAGCCTTGATTACCTTAAGTAACCTGGCGGTGACTCAGGTTAAAGATGCCTCTTAGTTATTTTTTCCAGTTACACCAATAGAAAATCTTAGAAGCTTTGGCATTTGGATGGTACCCTATTCTAGTCTCCAGGATCACTATGACTCTAGTTGCTGTATTTCTTGTCATTTTCCCCACTGCTTTTTCTCTCCCATTCTTAAATAAGTATCTGGAGAAAGGAAGAGAAAGCAAAGACTGGTAGTCAACTCGCCAAGTTCATCTAGAAGTCTAGATCTACAGTTTTTGAATGAGTGTGTAACATTCTGTCTTATTAATGTAAACACAATCATTTCCTGGTTATTGAGCCTTTGGGATTTTTTTCCAGGTTTCATTGTGTTCTTTGTTCTGTTTTGAACACCATGAACACCCCTCCCCCACTCCCTTACTGGGAATTGAACTCAGAGGCATTTTACCACTGCACTACATGCCTACTTCCTTTCCCTTTTCTAAAATTTTCAGATAGGGTCTCACTAATTTGAAAAGGCTGGCCTTCAATGTGTAATCCTCCTGCCTCAGCCTCCCAAATCTCTGGGATTATGGGTGGGCACCACTGTGCCCAGCATGAATATCTTTGAAAGGAACACTTCTGAGATTTTTCCCTTTGAGTTTGTTCTCCAAAGTGGTTTTTAAATTTAACTTTACAGAGCTGGGTGTAGTAGCACACACCTGTAATCCTAGTGACTTGGGAGACTGAGGCAGGAAGATTGCAAGTTCAAAGCCTGCCTCAGCAATTTAGCGAAGCCCTAAGCAACTCAGTGAGACCCTGTCTCAAAAGGAAAAACAAAAAGGGCTGGGGATGTGGCTTAGTGGCTAAGATAGTCAGTTGATAAATATATAATAAAATTTCAAATAGTGGTAATTCCTGTAAAGAAAATAGAGCCCAGGAAAGGGGCTAGAGAGTGATGAAGGGATACAGGGATACTTTTAGGGTTTATGGGTAGAGAAGTTCTCTCTAAATAGGTGTCAAATGAGCAGAAACCTGTTTGATAAGCAAAGAGGCAGCCCATGGAGATCTGTGGTAGAGGAATATTCCAAATAGAGAAAGCCAGCAAGTACTAAGGCCCTAAGGTCAGGATTAGCCAAGACAGTGCCAGGGCCAGAAGGAAGGCCAGTCTGTCCAGAGCAGCATGACCTGGGTAAAAGTGCTGGCCATGAGATAGGAGGTAAGGGCAAGGACCAGTGATGTTGGCGCTTGCAGACGGTGGGAGTTGGATTTCCTTCTGAATGTCATGGAGTGTCTTTAGGAGTTGTGAGCAAGGGTGTTGATGTTTTGTTTTACATTTTTAAAAGAGCGCTCTGGCTGTGGTTTGGAGAGCTGACTGTAGGGTAACTGAAGGAAGGCAGGAGGCCTTTTGGTTAAGCCAAGGGTTTCCCTCACTTCCTGAGCTGCATGACTCGCGCAGTCGTGAAGAAGGTGCTGCCCCCACACCATACCTGCTCCAGAGCTCTGCAGAGCCGACCCCAGGGCTGGAGGACTGTGATGGGCCGAGAGACCTGGGTGGTTCAGTTCATGTAATCCCTTGCCCATCCCCTAGTACTTTCATGTTTACCCTCCATGTTTGTTTTCGTGGGGACCGTATCTTGAGAAAGTCATTTTGGGATAACTTGTATTAAGACCTTAAGGAAGATGTTAGCTTTCCCTGACTCTCTTTAAAAACAGAAGCTTCGTGTTTACCCACAGGATTTATGACCTGGGAGTGGAGCTGAAGGACAGTGTAGGGGCTGGAGGAAAGTCCCACAGAGGGAACTTTTGGCAAGAGAGGCTGACCTAGGAAGCAGAAACCCCATTCAACCTTTGGTGCGACAAATACTAGTGTCTATACATTTGTGCAAGTTACTTCATCTTTTAGAGTCTGCTTCCTCATTGGTGGAGAAAATATCTATTCTGCTGATCTCCAGAGGCTGCCATGGGTGCAGTGAAAGCAGACCGTAAGCGCTGTGTGCAGATGGTCCATGGTGGCGGCCTCAGGCTCAGGAGACCCGAGGCTTCTGTAGCCGGTTGTCTACTCCCATCAGTGCAAGTGATGTTCCAGTGAACACTCTGGAACGAGGGGTGCCCGTGCTTTCCCTGGCTGTGTAGTCCCAGGCTGGCCAAGGCAGTTAAGACCTGTATGCCGGCTGTTCCAGGAAGGTTGTTGGCTGAGGTCACCAGGGCCAGGTTAGGAGAGGCTCCTAGAGTTGCTGCTGGACCTGGGGCGAGATGGCAGATAACCACACAGCGTGTGGATGAACTGGCACAGTCACAGTCATGGGCGAGTCGCAGTGTTTGTGCAGAAGTTAAAAGTGTAAATTAATGATGAAAACTGCTTCAGTGCAGATACCTTCAAAGCAGTGGAGAAGGGAGTGACTGATTCTGCCGGGGAGCAGGAAGGGGAAGGCCTAAGAGGAGGGAGCATTCAATAGATTCCTTTTTTAAAATTTTTTTTATAGTTGTACTTGGACACAATACCTTTATTTTTGTTTGTTTATTTTTTATGTGGTGCTGAGGATCAAACCAGCGCCTCGCCTGTGCTAGGCGAGCGCTCTACGGCTGAGCCACAACCCCAGCCCATCAGTAGATAGTTTGGAAACCTCAACATGAGAAAAGGGAGGGAGGGCTTTGCAAGCAGAGGTGGGAGGTGAGAAAAACATGGTGGGTTCTGGTGCCTAGGGCTCGTGGGGAGCCGGAGCCCAGGCCAGCTCATAGAAAGCCACCGTCAGAGCTGAGGTGGGCTTATCTGACAAGATTCTGCTTTTGTTTCTTTAGTGCTGTGTAGAGCCACTGGCAGGGCGGTCCTGAGGCCCTGTGTTTTGAGGTTGTGTTTATAAAATGTAAGGGTGGGCCCCTGCGGTGCCCAGCATGGTGTTTTGTCTGAGGTCAGTGTTTAAATATTTACTGAAATGACAAAGACATGATGATGATTATCTCAGAGTTCCAGAAAAGATGATGTCCCCCGCCCGATGTCCCAGGATGCTGGGTGTGACGCTGCATGCCCTGTGGTCTCAGCACACTGAGAAACCAGCAGGTGCTGCTGTAGCAAGGCCCCCACCCGAGGTGCTCCCGGCTCTGCTCTGTAGTCAGAGGTGGAGCTGGGGAGCAGTGGAGGGGACATCCAGGAAGCACCTTCTGTGGAGATGCCAGTAATGACAAAAAAAATGGTTTTGACATCGCTTAAGTATGCGATTAAATGATCTGGGGTTAGTGGCAATGTGAGACAAAGGAAGGAGACTTTATTTCTGTCCCCCACCAAGTTGGGTGACATTGCCCTTGATGCTGGGCCATGCTTTCCTCCACCTCATCTCATCCCTCTTCCCAGGTCTCCCGTGAACTGGAGCTCATGGGGTATGACGGCTGGGTTGACCTCTTGTGTCCTGTGTGTCTCCTCACCTGGGGGCCGGCTCGCCTCCAATGTGCAGAGCTCCTAAAGAGAGAAAAGGGAAAGTGCCTCCTTGCCCACCCAACCCATGGTCCGATGGCCCCCAGGTCACCATGGCCCTTTTCATTGTGTTGTGGCACTTTCTTGCCATGTCCCCTCAGTCTTTGTCTCCCAGTGATCCAGGGTGACATACAGAGGCCTCCACACCTAGTGCTATTCTGTTATCAAACCTTGAAACCCAGAAGGGTGACTGTAAGACCTGGCCTTCCTGCGTTACAGCCTTTGATGTTATAGGGACATAATGTATTGAGGTAGCCACAGGCTTAAAGAGAGTGAGATTTATAGTTTTTAGAACTTTTCTTTTTCTTTACTGGCATTTGCCTCTCTGACAGCCTCCCTTCCCTTTAATGTTTTTATCGTGGGAAATTTTAGTCATACAAAAAAGGACAGATCGTGTAATGAACCTGCAAGCACCATCATCAACACCTGGGTGTCTTATATCATTTATACCCCCTTCCCCAGCCTTAATTATTTTGAAGCAAATACTGGACGTCTTATCATTTCATCCATAAATATTTCAGAATATATTTTAAAAGACGACGACTATAAAATCATGGCACTTCCATTATCATACCTAATTGATTCCTTAATGTCACTCGTATTCAACTGATCAGAATTCAGATTTCCTCAATTCATCTCAGAATCTTACTTTTTACATTTTGTTTCATTATTATTTTACCTGTGTGTTGGTGTTATGTGCAGAGGCTTGTTCAGGATTCAAATTGAATTTTTTTGGCAGGTGGGCCTCTTTTTGATGGTATGGACTTTTTTTAGGAGGCACCAACTTTTAAACTTTTAATTATCTCTTTGTGAAAGATGATTGCGTTTTAAGTGTGTTGAGTATTTAAGAGGGCTCAGGCCTTTTAATGTTTACCTTGGCCCAGGTGGTGGTCTTAAGAAAGGGGAAAATGGAGTGCAGTGTGCTCAGAGTTATTTCTCTGGCGAAGTCTGACCATGGTGGGTGGTTATGTTCTCTGTCCCTGAACAGAGACACTTGCAGCTGGTCACCCCAGAACTTGTCAGAAGATGATTCCACATGAATTGGGTCTGCAGTGCCACCATACTCTTTTTCTCTTGGTCATGAAAGATCTGTTTGCTCAAGAAATAATTAGTAAGGAGAGACTCAGATTTTTGGAAAGTAACTTTTGTATTTTAACGTTGTTCCTTGGTTTGGCACACTAGCTACAGCTGCTGAGGTTCTCCTGTGGTGTGTTTTTCTTCCATTTGTAAGGCAGTTCTTTTTTTCTTGTAGGATCTCATTCTGCCCAACGGTGGTACTCCAGCAGGGACTTCCAGTCCAGCTTCTTCATCTTCTCTTCTAAACAGACTTCAACTTGATGATGACATTGATGGTGAGACCAGAGATCTCTTTGTCACAGTGGATGACCCCAAGAAGCATGTCTGTACCATGGAGACCTACATCACATACAGGATCACCACCAAAGTAGGTTCCTTTGTTTTCTGATGCCCGGGTCTTGGGGAACTGGGGTCCTAACCCCGTGGTTTTCCATCGCCTTCATCCACCCTCTGTACAGCTTCATTCACCTTCGTTACATTTGTGGGTGTGGTGTCTACAGAGAGTAGATGCATTAAGATTAAAAGGATCACTCTGCCAGTGATTCTCCAGGGAGTTTCCAGAAGCCTTCGGTTCAGGAATGGGGTGACATCATTGGTCCCTCTCGTTCTGAGGTTTTGGCATCATGGACTGCATGGTACTGGTTCCTCCAGCTTGCACATGGCCATTGTGGACTATCCACCTTCTGGTTGTATAAGCCAATCTAATAATTTAAACACATTGATTATTTACAATAAAAAGATTAAAAGCATCACAAACACATAATAATTTTTTAAACTGTTAAGATGAGGGAGAATTTGTGACTAAGGTCTTTTTGTGTGTGTGGTGCTGGGGATTGAACCCAGGGCCTTGTGCATATGAGGCAAACACTGTACCAACTAAGCTATATTCCCAGCCCTGTGACTCAGGTCTTTTAACCCCTATACTCTGACTTTTTTCCTATCATGGTACCATTTAACGGGTTCATATTACGTTAACCTTGAAATTTTCCAGTCATTGTATCTACCTAAATCTGTGATGAGACCCTAATTACAATTTGTGGCCTAACTGAGGTTGATGGTTGGGGACAAGGAGTAAGAAGACTGGAACTGGTATTTATTGACTTTCTGCTAAGTCCAGGCAAGTAGCAGGCAGGGTAGTGCCTAATTAATTGATTGATTCTCACAGCAATCCTGTGAGATCTATCTTTTAGCAGTGACTGTTTATCTGAGAACAGATAAGTAAGGGGACCTGTGAAGACTCATGGTTTTCTGCTGTTTGGTCTTAACATATTTCTTTTTTTTTTAAATGAATGTGTTTATAATATTCTTATAATTTTTTAAATATGATGTTTTTCATCCAATAAAAGATGGATAAACAAAATTTGAGTGTATTTCATTACATTTTTCTTTCCAAAGAATTTAAACAGGTTCAGAACTTATTAAATATTCATAATAAATTTTTTTTATTCTACAATGAAAAAGAGAAAAGGAACAGTAGGAGAAGAAAGACATGCTATCCAAGCTCTTCCTAACACCACCCATAAAGGCAATCCATCTAGTAAAGCTTTTGAAATTACTTGGCAATCTTTCTTCACAGTTGAGGAGACTGAAGTAGAAAGTTTGAGTAACTTGTTAAAGGTTAGAGAATTAGTAAATGGAATTATAACTTGAAGGACTAGAAAGTCCATATTTTAATTTTTAAAATCCATATTCCACTTGTGAAAGAATAACTTTGGGGCTGGGGTTGTGGCTCAGTGGTAGAGTGCTTGCCTAGCATGTGTGAGGCACTGGGTTCAGTTCTCAGCACTGAATGTAAATAAAGAAAATAAAAGTCCATCTATAACTAAGAAAAATATTTTTTTAAAAAGAATAACTTTGGGGTGTGTGTGTGTGTGTGTGTGAGTGTGTGTGAGTGTGTGTGTGTTCGTTCCAGTGCTAGGGATGGAGCCCAGGCCCTGCACCTGCTAGGGAAGAACTCTACCACTGAGCTACACTTCCAGCCCTGTATTATTTGTTGCTTTTGAAAGTTATTTTCTGACTATTTGAAATAGTACTGAAGTTTTAGGTGTGAAGCAGGGTTTCTTGACCTTGGTGGTATGGACATTTTGGACTGAGCAACACTTGGTTTTAGGGGGTTGTACTGTGGGTCAGCAGGTGTTTTTTAGCATCATCCCTGGGCTCTGGCCTCTGGATGCCAAGGGCACCATCCTCCCCCACTCTCAGCCCCTGGTTGTGACAACAAAAATATCTCCAAATATTGCCAGGTATTCTCTGGGGGACAAACTTGCTCCCTGGTTGAAAACCAGGAGCATAATAATATAAAAAATCTAGATTATTTATATTATTAGGAAGAAAATTCACATTATCGCTGTGTATTTTAGAATAAAGAAGTCTTTTTGTCAGGAAACTATCTTATTTCTTGGTATTTCCCCTACCACAAACCACATAGTGAAGAAAAGACTTCTAGGTAATTCCAGATGCATTAATAGATGCAGTTACCTTTGTGGGTGGTGTCAAGAAAAGCATGGATAACATTTCTTGTTTCTCTTACTGTGCCTTTTCTTTTTTCATTGTAGAAGAAAATTGATCTTTTACTGTGAAAGTTGAATAGGTTCTGAACCTGCTTAAATTCTTTTTAGAAAGAAAAATGGGATGAAATACATTCAAATTTGCTTCTTCATCTTTTATTGGATGAAAAATATTATATTTAAAAAATTATGTGAGTAATATAAACACATTCATTGGGTGGGGGAGAGGGAGGGAGGAGAAGAGAAGAGAGAGGAGAGAACAATGTTAAAGACCAAATACAGAGTAGAAAACCCTGAGTCCTCCCTGGTTGTCCTCAATATCTATTCTAATTGAAAGTTGCCATTGCTAAAACGTGGTATGTTCTTCTCATCTCTTTTCATTTACATATATACATGAACAGTTAGAATACACATTATTTAGATTCTGGTGTCTTTCACTTTCTTTCTTACCAACTAAGCTATATTTATATTTATATATTAATTTTCAATTGACAGTATTTTTGAAGGCCCTTCCCGGTGCATACAATTGTATCTATCTTATTCTTCCTGTCTCTGCCTAATTATTTATGCAGTGATTAGGCCATTATCTTTTCTCTATGGACATTTAAGCATTTGTCAATTTTCTGAAGTTACTTCCTGTCCTCTCTCACCTGGTCCACACTTGAAGATCTGTCTGCACACGATGTCTTTCCTTATGACCATCCTGAGCAGGTGCTCACATGTATGTTATTTCTTCCTCAGAGGTCTAGGGCCATGTACATATTTTCCGAAATTATTTCTATTTATTTATTTTTACTTTGGCTGAACATATTCTTTACCTTGTGGTCCATGAAATGCAAAACCCGTTTTTCTTGAATTGCTGCTACAGCCAGGTGACAAGGTGACTGCCTTGCTGGCACAGTAACACTCGCCCGCGGTGACAGTTTTCACCACTACTTGATTCCTGTGCCTCCCTGCCCCGCTCCCCAAAGTAGATCCCGCAGGGAGGGCTTCTCTTCGTTGACTGATGGACTAGTACACTGGCCACAACCTGCCAGTCTTTCTTAGGCCTCTTCTTTTTCTTCTTTCCTTACCCCTTACCCTCCATGTTCTTATCTTTCCCCGGGATGATTCAATTTCCTGCATATGAGAAAAGATCCGAAAGTAACCTTTTCCCACTTGCAGTCCCACATTTTCACTTGGCACCTCAAGATGAACCTGGTGGGGAATTTTTACCTTTTTTTTTTTTTTTAATGGTTATACATACTATTTGGGTTTGTCCCAACAAACTTATATATGCATGGAAATAGATTTCGGTTCATGAGTCCCCCTCCCCCCTGCCTTTCCCTCAAATTTTACTTCTTACCATCCCTCTCTTCCACTTGTGATTCAATACCTGCATTGTCTGCTTTTTCTGTTTCTAAAAGCAACACCAGGTTGGTTGTCCTGGTGGGGCATTCAGAGCTTTCTTTCTGAAAGCTGTGTTAATGGATATGTAGGGGTGTGTGGGGATGAGAGAGGACACACAGGGACACAGGGCCCCACGCCTGATCTTGTCCTAGGATTTGCTCTTCTGTTGAGGTCCTCAGCAAAGTGAATGGTCAGAGGATGAGGCTGTACACATGCTTGCTTTATTACTTGGAGGTTTTGACTTCCCAATTCTGATTCAGGTTCCTGTTGACCACAGGAGCTAACATGAAGTGAAGTCTGAGAGCTGATCTAGGCAAAGAATGCTTCACCAAATCTATGCTGATGGGAGGCCCCTAAGGCCCTCCCAAGGCAGGTGGCTTCTGCCTCTCTTCTCTGACGGCGCCTAGAAAGTAGCATCATATTAAGAACTAATTATTGGATGCTGAGCATGTGTTATACTTTTTTTTGCAATAAAACTGTTCAATTATTATTTTAGGTATTTTTAGAAATACAGATTTTATAGAAAAATCAGAAGATGAAAGCTTAAAAAAAAAAAAAGACTACCTATAAGGTCAGCAGCCAAAAAAAAATCATTGATAACTTCTGTGCTGTTTTCCTCTTATTTTTAAAAAATGAGTATTTTGCATGTGGCCAGCTCTCTTAATATGTTGCAGATATCTTTCTCAGCTAGTTAAGCACCAATAAGCACACTTTCAGGCCATCACTTATAAGGTGGCACTAAGTGTTCTGTTGGGTGCATCTGCCATCATTTATTTTGCACTAAGTGCTTTACATATATTATTAATCTTCACACTTGGTGAAGTAGATATTGATACTGTCTTTATGAATGAAACTGAGACACAGAGACGTTCAGAAAATTGCTCAAAGACATAACTAATATGTGGTGGAACTAGTGCTCGAGTCCAGATTCCTTAACAATTGTGCTGTTTTCCACAACATGATTTGCCAGAGAGGATGGCTCTCACCCAGCACAGGAGGGCAGAACAGTGGTCCAGCTGAAATGGTCCATGTAGACATAGATGCAAGTTTGAGGAAACAGAGAGCCCCCTCCAGCTCCCTTTAGAGACCGTCCTCTGACCTTTTACACTATTTCCCATCAGTCACCTCTTACCCCCCAAGGAATACCTCTCAGATACTCAGTGGTCAAGAGAGCCTAAATGCTGCTCAGGAGCCACGTTATGTCTAAGAATCACATAGTGGGCATTTGATCTAATGACAAGGTCATGGGTGACTAGGGTGACCGTTTCATTGGTGTGGTGCAGAACCCAGTTTGCAGTGGGTTAGAGTGAATGAGAGTTAGAAGAGAAGATATGAGTATTGGTAGTTTGCTAGTGATAGAAAGAGTAAAACAGACAGCATGAGCAATAGCTGAGGGAGGAGCATGGGGGAGACTTAAGTGCCAAGTAGACAGTTTTGGTAGAGAAGGAGACTTTGGGCTGCAGATTGACAG